AACTGAATGGCCATGGAGTTCCGATCCGGTGGGCAAAGGCCATCAAACTGAGAGTTGGTTAGGACCGCACATAAATTGTTGGGTTTTTAACAGAATACAGGTAGGTCCGGTGTACGTAGTTTTAATCCTAAAATAAAGCATCTTACATCTTCTCATCCTTGTTTTTGTCCAGCTGACACCGTTTGTTCATAAGCCAGTGATTGTGTAAAGCCAAATACTTTTTGTTTTCATTGCACACAATATCGGGTTTTCAATGCGGTTAATTGGCATGTGAACAATACACTGAAATTCGAAACAATTCGACCACTGTATAAAGTTAAAATCGATATCTGGCAGAGTATCGAGTCAGAAACATTCGAGACTTTCCACATTTAGAACCGAAAGTCGGGACGGAAGATTCATCAATTGCATCATTTCATCTTGATGATCTAATATCTCCCCAAGCGTTTTCCTTGTCTGTGCCAGCGAACTAAAGCAGCTCGGTCGTAGTTGATGAGTAAACTTTCGCAAGTATCAAAAAGCATCGGTTCCACAGCAAAGGCCTCAGAAAATGCTTTCACACGGTGCGTCTCTTAAAGTAGCTGATGATATGCGCCTTACCTCATCAAAATGCTGAGCGCTTGTGCGACCATGGAAGGAGCTTGCGCTTGCACTCATCCCTTGTGGGGACCAAATGGAGATACTTGAGAAGTTCAATTACCTCGGGAGCTTGATGGTAGCTCGGGGTGGGGCTAGGGAATAGACCAAATAACGAATAGTAAAAGCTGCAACAGCCCTTGACGACCTGCGACAACTGTGGCCCCGATGTGACATCCAACCCTCTTCAAAGGAAGCTTGTGTATCACTGTTACTTGTAGGTTGCAAGACCTTATCTCTGCAAACTGAACACGCTTAAAGATCCCATTTTCGAATTCGTGATTGATGGAAACATCGGGTGAGCAATAAGGAGGTTCGTCGACTCGTATTGGTAGCTAAATTTCGTTCCCTAAAAGAAATTAACAGCTCTACGTTGATGGTGATGACCTGGTCATCTTTGGCGAAAGCTACCCATCACCTACCTCTCTGCACACGTGTTGAACAGAGCAGGAAGAAGTATTGTGACGGTCGGACCATGATTTGGCATGAGTATGAAAGAGCTAGCTTCAGCATTGGCTTTGATAGGAGCAGCCCGCTTTCCAGATTGGGGCCAAGGGATGGCTGTTGTCAATGGTCGGAGGCGCTACGAGATATGGTTCAGAATGGAGGTTAGCGATGCGAATGGTGTGCGGTCGGTCTGTTGAAATTCCGTGACCCCAAAAAGGACTCACAAAAATATGAAAAGCGCAATTCTTTTTCCCGTCATTCTCATTTGTAGCCGAATTCTCCCTTGTGTATTATCATTGTTGACACGTTGGCATCATTCCCGTCTGCAAGACGGTGTTATATATATATATATATATTGCACCTGATGGAATCGTCTAAAACACTGGTAAGGGTGTTTTCACCAAGGTGGAGGAGGGTAAAAAACAATATCCGGATCGATGACCTTCAAGCACCAAGCTCAAAGAAGGAATCCGGAAATGGTTGACTTCAAAACTTACACGAACAAGGGTTCAAATTAGCCTGGTTGCGCAATCCACTGGGTTTATTGGATACCGGGACATGCATACTGGGTCTTCACACCGTATAATTGGAGACCGTTTCCCTATTAACTGCGTCTATACACCACTGCGCTGCCTTACAGTGAGTTTCAGTTGGCCAAGGTTCCGCCAGAGAATGTCCCACAAAAAAAAACAGTTTCGGTTTAGACAGTAGTAGGTCTAAAAACAAACAAATGCAACTTTCTAGATACTTTTATCTTTCGTGACGCATTGATACGATCTTTCTCACGCACACAGCTACCCCCTCCCCCACCAATTGAACATTTGATCAAAATCCCCATACACGGTGGCGACGATCGTTGGAAGAAAGGGAAAATAGCAGTCACGGAAAACAAGTGTGGTGTTTATTTTTCGCTCTTATAGACTCCGGGGTGGGGGTAAACGATGAATCTGATCAAATAATGCAGTCAGCAAATCAATTCCTTACACGGAGGAACTCAGTGCATAATGAAAGAGGAAAATGCATAGAAAATTATGATTCCCGTGAGAAAATGGAGTTCATTTCACGATATATTCCGGTAATAATTGTGCAGTGCGAAGCACGCACATCTTGCGTGAACAAGATACACGAGGGGATGGTATCCATCGATTGAGCCTGCAAAGCGAGAAACATGAAATTTTAAGAACAAACCCAAGTGGGAGAGTATTCATGGGAACATTCACGTAGTCGAAGTATCGCGTGATGGCAAAGGCTCGCGGGCACAAAAACCCGTACTATGATGATTGGCTTGAGTCCCGAGACCTCAATTATTTCAGTGTTGTTCAATACCAAAAATCAGCTGAATGAGAAATGCGATCCAATCACAAATGGTTTAGAATAACACCTTTGACTGGTCCCAAACTACGTTTTACTGCTATCGCTGTCTTACACCCAGTGGCCTCCGTGTGCTGCATTTCAAAACGTACATTCTTTCGGATTTCTATCAAACATCATTAATTCTCCTCACAAAAATGCTTGAACTCAATCCAAATTCGTTCTATCAACTTTTATACTCTGTTTGAATTACCTCAACTTTTTCGTTATACTGGTTTTCCGTTGTAACTCAGCTTGCTTTTCATACTGCACGCAGACTCGTCTTCAGCAACTGGATCGAACACTCTTAGACAAGCATATTCATAGAGCGCGAGGCACAAGCATTGTAAACAACTGAACACCCTCCCCAACAGTGCTGCCGACCGCATAGAGGAGCACATTCACACTTTGGAAATGCGATTGAATTCTGATCCCACTTTGTTTTCAGATTTACCACCGTCTTTCTAACATTAAAAGTCTGTGGGTTTGAATGAATTCTGTGACTTCCTGACATCCTACCCCTGGTGAAAATTTTCTCTTTATCCCGACCCTTCCTCTCCAGTTGTGAATGTTCTGGAAACTATTTTCCAAAACATACACATGTTTATTTCTTACTTTTCTGAGCCTGGAGAACAACACTCTCCTGAATTGGTCGCAAATGCTTGCTTAGCCCCGGAAACCACAGCATTAAGGAAAAGTTTTTTAACTTCGGTGCTTGTTCCTAAATCTATTTTCCCATCACTGCTATGTGCAAGCCCAAAACAAACGCGTGGCAAATAATACAGAAAACCAAGGACAGAATTTGTTCATCATGAACCAACAAACTCCCTAACTGCTCCTGGTCTCTCGCTAAATTACCTTAATTTTCCGTAATTGCTATCATCCCCCGGTTAAATGCGCCTCTAGCGAACTTACCCCCAAACCCTCCTAAAGGTTACGGTATATTGGGAGGAAAACCTCCCAATTCTACCGTGCTTACGTCACCCTGCACTCACAACCGCCATGGTCTCCAAATCACAAGCAGGAATATCGGCCTAGCACTGCGTACACTAGGCACATCCGAGCCACACAGCCGAATGGCATCCCACTAATGGTGCTTCGAGGCTTTTGGACGAGAGTACGACCCGATACCCCATTGTCCTTTTTTCACTAGCTTCTTCACGGGTTGGTTCGCAGCTGTTGGACAACTGTCCGTTTCTTCATCAAGCTTAAGCGAGACTAATTCTGTCCGTTTCACAGTCTTGGAACTATGTAGTGATCGAAGAAAACAACTTCGCAGTTTCCCAGACCACCGCGAAATTCTCAACGACCACCTGAATGACTTTCGCTACCGTTGATTCACTTACAGTCTGTGTGTAATTCACACATTAGATACTCCATCATCGATTACCATGGTGAATGGCGTCTGGTCTCCATCATTTCCGAGGTGTTACAATGAGTTGGGCATGACGGGCTCCTGGAATAACTTCCCAGTTTTTGACTCTATGCAAAGATCTGATTGTTTGGGAGAAATTCAACGCGCTAGCTCATGCAAGAATCAACCCAAGGTGCTTCTGCTCCACCCCTTACGCGTTCTAACTCCATACTGGTTCAAGGTTAATCTTTATTAGACCATTCCCCATAATCGCGCTTAGGCCATAGCATATTCACCTCCTGACAAACCAGCTGACCTTGGTACATTTGATACGTACTGTTGAACCGGTATCGGGTACGGAACGGCACTTTATCTCCGCTTAACTCCTCACTCTTTGCAAATGCTGAATTTGTCCCAATACGGAATATTGCAACTATGCCCGCGACTGGGTCTGTTTATCTTGGGTGCTTAGGACTATGTTCAACGTAAAGCCTATCGCCTTAACGCCTATCTATCCCTACCATTCACTCTTTGCCGAGGGATCGCCTACATGTTCCTTTTCTACAATTAATTGCATGGATTTGTTGAGCGAACTTTGCCGATTTGGTCTCTCCTGAAAATACGTCTATTTGAGAGACCAACTCTCAGGCGTTAGACCATCTTTGCTAGGTATCTCTAAAATCCTGTTGAATCGTGGCATTCAAATTAGCACATTACCCCAGAGTCGCAGAGGTGTAGAACACTCATCACTCCATATTTTTTTCTTCTTACAACAAACTGTGTTTTGGATGTATTCCCCTGTTGTGGCCTGCAGTCGATTGAAACGTTTACCGCACATCACTTGACTGATCGTTGCGACCAGCCAACAGTCGCACGTACGCACCTCAGGCGTACTTACACTGTTACAAGGTCGATCCGCCTCGGCAAAGCAGAGGTTAGTATTGCCCTGTCCGAACTGATTGGTTCGGTTTTTTTACTACACACCCAAGTGTAATGAACAGTAGACGGGGCGAACCCCATAGTCCCGAGGACCTGCTGTTCAGTGGTGGAAACCGGCAACCTAAGCCGCGGGACTTGGAATGACGATAGGTTAAGTGTGGTATTGAACCGGACGACAACACAACTGCCAACCACCAAAGTCGAGTGGCGGGGCTCGAACCTCGGGACATAGGACCCAAAGCACGTCGGTGACAGTGACTAAACCACTGTGGTAACGGTTGCGCCAGTTTGTGTCTGCCTGCCTGTGTGTTGACGCACTGCTTGCTCACCGGTCTACGGAACAGATACGTTTGCATTTACATAATGGAAATAGAATAACTACTTGCATACTTATTGACTTATACGGGATACAACATCCCTCACCGTTTCCACTGTTATGATTAAGGGGTTCGCGAATTTAATCTACCTCATGCAACACGAGGCGGGCCTGTTAACTGTAGGCATGTAATAATGAGCGAGTCATAGATCAGTGAAATACAGAAGCAAACCTTTATCCAGTCGACAATAAAAACCACAGTATCCGTAAATTACGTGTGATTAAAATGAAACTATGATCCTCTCCACAATACGAATAAAACTCAATACTAGTTTATTTGCATCATTGACACTTTTATCTCGAAAGTGGGAAATCATTTGTGGTTCCTCTATCCCTATGATCGTACGGGATGCGTCATTTAGCGCTTATTGTATCATACTACTAATTAGTAGCCAGACAGATGAAAGTGAAAAATAAAGGACGTACTTGGAGATCTCATCAGCTGGGGTTAGGCTAATTGGGTTTACCGTCCCACTCGCGTCTCCGTTTCGCATGTCTTTCGTGAAACACTATTCTGCAATGGATTAGTGCAGGAGAAATAAATGAAAAAATAATTTGATCTCTGATTGTGTACGAATAGAAGAGTGGACGAACGTGTAAGCGCACACCGATGCGATCAAGGGCGGACAGAATCCGATTTACGCAACCAGAGATTATATCTTTGAAAGTTAGCGAATTTATAAAGTACGATGGCGAAAAGTGCGAGAAAATCAGAAATCAGAGGGGAATTCGCTTTAGGAAACAATGATAATACAAAATTCAATCCTAATGGTCGATCACGATTAGCATTCAATGAACAGGACGAGTGACGGAGTGATACCGTTTCTGTAGGGCGTGAAGGAAAAAATTGGAACGACTCTCAAGAATCGTATGTAACAAGTGACTAGAAAAATGCTTGTGGCTGTTTAGTTTGTATAAAGTTTATCTTCGTCAGGTACATGTACTTTTTGCATAGAACTTATTTCTCACGTGGGCATACTTCTCGACAGTAAAAGTTGCCGTGAAACGAGTAGGATGATGGAATTCAACCAAGATCATCGAGGAACACATCCATATTTCATTGAATCCTAGGAATTAAGACTAGAACAGGCGTAGTGTTCAAACTTCCTGGAACTGCCAACTAGTAATTTGGATCTCCTTTGTATTAATCGGTTGCATACCCCGACAACAATATTTCAGATCGTCAGATGTTTTAAACATGGTTCCATTTTTATTTATCAAACAAAACAACACATGACCCCTAGAGTAGATGAGTACCTTACTTGGAAATAATCTCACAACCAACAATGTTTAAATAAAGAATTTCAGTGGCAGTGCCCAGGTCCTTTTCAAAAATCGGATCTGTAGAAGAGACCGTTATATAGAGAATGTAAAAAACGCATTGGGCCATCTTTGTACCACGGAGGAATGTATAGTGATCAAATCACGCTTGTCCCGTCAGTATATTTTGGGGTTTTACACTTTTTCTTTGGTAAAAATCAGACTGTTGCCACTTTGCGAAAATAAGACCGCAAAGTAGGAATGAGTGGTTCTCTCAGCTCGCTGAAAAGCATTTGATAATTGATTTAGAGGATCTTCCACCAATCTCATTCCAGGTATTACCAACTGAACCCTTTCAATGTCTATCATCTGCAAACAGGCCCAACAACTCTTAGGATGAAATATGCGGCCAATACGGTGTACAAAAGATACAGAAATGCTCATTTTCAGAGCGTTTTCTTCTCTCCTACTCCGCGGTAACCGCAAATCTGCTAGCATTTGTATTTCATGATACAGCGATCTATTCCATCGTACAAGCGGAAAAAGAATATACATACTAGCTGAAAGAAGCAGTTAACAGTGCCCAAACATCAAAATATTTCACGAATGGGATTTTTTAAACACATCCTCAACACCAAAACTGTTTGTTACTATTTTCGACAACAAGAGATTCTTCTGTCACTTTACTTCTCTTCCACTGATACCTCATCCACCAAACCCGATCAGTTCAACTGTTTACTCTACACCAAATATTCAAGAAACCAGAGAGAAAACAAATGATGTTAGTTCAAAATCTATCAAGTAAAATGGCTGTAGTGACAGCAGGAAACCTACCGCCACTTCAGTCAAATCGGCCTCAAAACAAGCAGCAAATAAACAATACTCCCGTCAACAAACCTTTTTGTACGCTTCTGCGCAGATAACACTACTTGATTACCAACTGGTTGTAATGAAGGTCCTTGCACAGGTCCTAAAGTTAGAGCCAATCGTTTCAATTCGCCCACATTAATTGGATTTCTCGAGGAAGGAGCAGGGTTGGATGACTGAGTGTTTGCTTTGTTAGACGAGGAATGCACTTGAAGGCAACGAGGTACGAACAAGGACGGGTCGGCCGGTACTCGATTATCGCTCAGATCAGTCGACGAACCTGGAGTGGGGGTCGGTTGATTAGGCTGATCGGGTTTGGTAGCACGGGCGGGAACACGATACGGACGCCAACTGAGTGCCTGTAACACGGGTAAGGGGAGTGGTCTCCTGAAAAAAAAATGAAAACCTAAACGCGTCAAGATAATTAAGGCCGTTGGAGGCATGAATATTGTGATAGAACCTATAGAGTATCAAGCTTGGATTGGCCCATTCGATGGTTCAGAGACACCAGGCCCTCTTGATGGTTTTGGGTGTGGGTTTCACTTTTTGGAAGATCGTTTATTCCTCAGTAGTTGAATGCATTTGAATGCAATAAACGACAGGACGAAACAGCTGTCCAGTACTCTTTGTCGGCTATTACAAAAATTTCCATCGTATTGTGATAGCATGTTCTGAAAACGCGGCCTCAGAGGAAATTACGGGAGAACAAGGAATTGATAATTTGTCTACACTAAATTGAAAAAAACTTGGTAATGTCGCGTAAATATTTTAAACCAGTTTACCCCTCGTATATCCCATTGAGCAATCATCCACGTCCACGCACACTGGTTGAGATTATTTGCAAGAATCCGTCGAAGATTCTGATGACAAGAAAACTTGCATTAAATGAAGCTGTACTGTATAGCCAATCGTGGTTACAAATATTTTTTACACAATTTGAAATAGACAGGTAACAGCAATGAATCCATCGCCGACATAGGGAAACCATGTCAAAATGTTGTGTATGAAGCTTCCACTCGTTGCGTTCTCACCCCTCAAAATTGCCAATCAAAGACAAGATGCGAACAGAGGGATGAAAAGATAACCGAGTAGAATGGAAAGGACTTACCCATTGGGTCCCATGCATGATACTTGGTCCTGTGCTCGATCGTTTTTACCGGCCTGAGAAGTATCTGGAGTGGGAGGGGCATTTGGTGGTGGCACACCTAATTGCATCCAATCCATTCCACGCTCCAACCAGTAGCGACGTGCATCATCCAGGGCGTCACCTGAGCTGACATGTGACGGTATAGATGAACTGGGAAGACTAGAACCACGACAGTCTTCCAGCGCACCAGACACGTCAGAATTCGAAGCAGGAACGGTGTCCACATTCTCATTCGGAAACGCGTCCGGCTGCGATGACGACGTACAGCCGCGCAGTCGTTGCGCGTAATCATACTCTGTGGATGAATAAAACAAATTCAATTCTATATCCCGATTCTACGATCTATTTTTCCCCTCTTGCCTTGTTGCCTTACCCAATTTACTTCGCAACATGCATGCTTAGTTTTTGTAATGATGCGGCAATGATATAGCGCCTTATGTTATCATTACTATACCATCCTCAGTTCAATTGCACCCGCCGTAACTCGAGGTAATTTGACTTAACCTCAAGTGAATTGGCGACCTTACAGATCAACTGGTACCCTGACTGTCATACATATATCTGACTGGAGCTCGTCCAATACCAGTGTATCGGAATGCAGTTGCACTTCACGTCGATACACTAACTGAGAGAAAAGACGGTTGTACGAACAGACTTATATTCAGCACGAGATACACCAATACAGTTTGTTCGACCCAGTCCGATAGTGTATGAAATCCGATTCAGTTAAATAAGTGGGTCTGATGGACAATTAAAAGGGGGTGAGAGTCACAGCCATGGTGACTCGTGGTTCAGCTATAAAAACCGGAAGACTAAACCGTACGGCGCTCTGGATTACTGTATTTCGATCTACTCACTTGGCTGATCATGGAGGTAATAAATAATCATACAGGACCAAGAAGGGTCGCTGATCATGAAAATGAATCAAGTGACAGAGAAGATACACATTACCACAACTGGGTGATGAAAACGCAGTAATCAAACTTTGGAACCGAAGGCGCACTTGGATATCGAAACTAGCAGGAGTGCAACATCCATTTTATACAACATATAACTAATCACTACACCCTTACCCTAGCTTCTTTGAACAAGCGAAATTTACTAACCTATCAAATTTTATAGTAAATTCAGACGAATGGCTTTGGGACACATATGAACATATAGCAGTAATACGAACTGACTTAGATTAATGAGAATTTTCTTCTATTATTAAAATAAAAGTGCAAAGGCTAACGCAACTTGCGAAAAAAATACCAGAAAACACAGCAAAGATTGCATGAATGGTTACCATCGTGAACAGAGATGAAAACCAAATTTTTTCAACCCCCTCTTGGCATGATATGATTTCACTAACATATTCGATCCAAAGACCAAGCATGGTTACCGGAAAAACAATCTCCAGGACAGTGTGTAGGTTTGTTTACCAGCTGAAGAGGATCATGTACTTACGAAAGGCCTATCACTTGGTCGAGCAAAACGGAAACCTTGGTCTTGAGACTTGAAGTGGTGAATCCCTTAAGTCCCGGTGAAACACCTCTGTTTTCAGTTTTAGAGAGTTGCTAATGTTGTCTGTAATGTATTAGACCAAGTAGTTACAACTGACTGTCTTGATCGACAAAACCAATTTATTTCAAATATATTACTGTCATTTCTGAGAGAATCCAGTGAACGGAACACTCTGTTTACACTGCATAATCCTTTTCCAAATGAAGAGATCTGCATCAGAGTCGCATAGCTGACGGTGGAAACCGATCAGCTAAGCCTTCGGACTTGGAGCAGCGAACTACATAGCGGGCCCAAATTCGCTCGGTCATGATTGGAACGCTTTTCTTTTTTACAAAGATTGTTGCATTGTTGATTTGTTTGGTACACAGTTTGGATTCAGACGTGAGTGAAAATATATGATACGTTCGACCGTGAGTCACTGGTAACGGCATTTGGTAACGAGCTTGGAGGACTGACCTAGGCCAGTTGAGCGAACGGTATGAGTCGGAAACAGAGACAAAGGGATGGATGTGTGGATAGAAGATGAGGAACTAAATACAAACTGGGATATCCGAGTAGTAGCCGACTTATCACTATCCAATTCACTCAACACAACGAGCAGTGTGGTCTCGATTATCCCGTGAGACGTTTGATGCGCTTATCCATACTCCGAAAGAACAAACATCCGAACGGAACACTACAGCGCTGTAATCACCGCCTGGAGTAACAGTGTAAGACAAATGAACGCTACAAGCCGTTCAACCCACAGAAACATGAGCTTTAAACTACTGTCAGCATGAAATGAGGGAAAATGTGCAGATGAACACCACAACATGAAAGAAAAATATCCCCGCTTACCGGCTTTTCGGGCGATCCGTCCGTTATCACGACGGCAGGCATGCAATTTAATTCGAGTTTCAGCGACTGTTTCATACTCGGGAGCGTAACATATGTGAAGCGACCCACCATAGAAACTGCTATCATCTAATTTACGCTTGGCTTTCCTGTGTGAGCAAAAAATGGCATTAAGGATAATAGATTTCGTGGTACTGGGTAGATCGGGGGTGGACACAATCGGGGATGGGGAGAGGGAGTGAATACGGAAAAATAACGCAAAGTGATCTAGCTTAACCAATTGCGCAAAAGGAATACGTTCACACCTGGCCGTTTGGACAGAATCAAATTTGACGAGAAACACATCTGTGAAACGTTCCCTTTCCGGATAATCAGTCAATTTGGTTATTGACTGCAAAGGTCCAATCTGTTTGCATTGGTCTTTCAGTTGCTGATCTAAATTCACGGACGGGACACCAAAAAGTAACAGATAGGCTGATTCAGTAGCAACAGTGAATACCTACANAAATTAGTTCAGACAATGAAATGAACCAAAAACTCACTTTGACTGCGGTCTTACGACGGCCGTCTCTGTAGGCTGGCCGTGTCAAACACGGACCAACTTTGAGATGTTGTGCAAAAGCTCTGGTTGGCTGCATATAATAGCTTTTATTTCTGATTGGCGGGAAAAATGCTGGCTTGATGTCAAACTGGCTGAAAAATATAGCAAACCGAAAAACCATAGTATTACTCTTTGTTTAGGTACAGTAGGATGAGTTAAATTCAAGAATCAAATCGATGTGAACACAAAGAACAAGAGATGGAACAGATACTAAAGTGAAAATGTGTCAAAGTTAACGAGCTGCTTGAGGCTTGAAAATGCAAGCGGTTACATCATTGACTATGCTACCGTCATTTGTCACGCAGCTACCTCCGTAGGAGAAACATTCCACCACAGCTAATTCTTGACCATCAAGCGTCAGGTAGACGAAACCCAATATTGCAGCATCACTTTGCACATTGAAGGTGCACATACCGAATGAAGTTACAGAACTTGAAAGTCTGGCAGGAACGCTTTGAGCATCCTCCATACATTCGGACGGGCAAGCGATGCCGTCAGTGTACTCTAGGTTGCAGAGCTGTCCATTCACTATCACTAAATGTGTTCTCCAGTATTTCGTCTACGACAAAATTGAACAGGAATGGCGAAAAATATGACGTCCTTGACGAACGCGGCTCCCGGTTTCGAACGATTTACTTAGCCTACCGTAGACCCTGACCTACCAGAAGTATGCGAATACAGCGAGTGCAACAGGTTTACATACTTCTGCGGCACTCCTTTGCGAAGCAGCGACCCCATAGGAGCTTCACGGTCAACTAAAACGAAGGCTCCTTTTAGGTCAATTCGACGATGTGCGTGACGCAATTCGATGACCTGACGCAGAGTAAAGGTGGATGCAACCGCGACCTGCCCGTGGATATTCAGTCAGGCGGCGAAGTACCACAGAGGTCATCACTTTGTGAGTATAGGAACCAAACTAATTCCATAGTAATTTGCGCAGTCGTTGCGCGGTCCCTTCTTGAAGATCAGGGCGGTAAACGATTCATCGCAGAACACAGAGGTACGCTCCTCCGACCAAATGCTGTGAAGTAAGCTAGTAAACTAATCGACAAGAGAATTATCACCCACCTTGAAAAGAATGGGGAGAAGCTCATCAGGCCCCGCAGTCTTCCCCTTCTTTAATGATTGGATAAAGCTCCGTACTTCGAATTCTAATGGGGGCTCATATGAAACTAGCAAATGCCGGAATGAGGGCATTAGCACTAGACAAATTGAACTGTTCACTAAAATACTCTGCCCAGCAATCAAATCGTTTTTTATTGTTGACATTATGTTCACTGTGATCGCAAATGGTCTTACTAACCGGTATGCGACGACCGCCGGTGCTGCGTATCAGGTGAAACAGTCTTCAACCATTCCCTGATGCAGTAGCTACTTCCATTTCACTAGCTTCTTCTGAGTTGATTTTGCAGGCCTCACGATCCCTATGCTGATCCTGGCGAATTGGGATTTTTCGCTTGTGATTCACCAGGATTACCGACTCCTGAGAGATCCAGTGTCTTGTACTATTTTCTTCAGAAAAGAGAAGGCACATGGAGATATGATGGAAACCTTTAAGATAATGAAAGGCTTGTCTGAAGTTAGACCAGAAACCCCGTTCAAGAGGCGCTAGATTCTCATACAAGAGGGCACGAAATAAGGCTGGCCAATGCCCCATCTCGATTGATTACCCGGTCACACATTTTCAGTAACAGGGTAGTCAACATATGGAAGACTACCTGTGGAGCTGACAGAACTGTAGACCGTGTTAGCATTCAAGACGGCCTTGGATGAAGGGCGGTCTGAGCTTGTTCCAGAGGGGCTGTGACCATCCATCTATCGACTTAGGAAAACCAGAAGAGTCAGAGCAAGACACTCTGGTTGCATGCTTTTTGCTCCTCCACTTATTAGGATGTAACCTGGAAGATGAACGCCCACGTATAACAATCTCTCACCTTGGAGGTGAGATGAGGCATCTTCCCCTTTTCTTTCTCTTCAGCAAGGAAGTAACGGGCTACTCTTCACAGTGGTGGGTGCCATGCTTAACCAGATACCACCGAAGTAATTTTGGACGCTCGATTGACCGCGGCCATACTCATTCATGTGCAACCT